CACGCCGGTCATTTAAAATGTCATCACTATAACTATTGTTGTTTAAAACGATGGTGAAGTCCCCTTTATTTTTTGAAAAACTACTATGCTTTCAGAAAGGTTCTTGTAGAAGAAAAATATATATACACTTTATTTGTTGGACTTCATTTTGAAAATGCAAAAAGAGTGGGGAAAAAAAGGGATCAAATGTTGGATCTGATGTTAGTTATAATTTTAAAAATACTTGTGCTTCATAATCTGAATGATTTTACTGTGGTCAATAGAAATACAAGATGTGTAACCTGCTTTTGAGGATTTACAATAATCATAATCAGTTTAAACAAAAATATTATAAATAAATATACCATGTAATCCCTTTTAAGTTTGTTTGTTGTTTTTTTCCCCCCATTCCTAGTCTGTAAATGTTCAGAGGATACTGCTGAGCATTAATTTTATTCATCATAGGACAAAAAAAATCATTTTAAGAATTATAAAGAAAAATGCATTGTTTCAATGTCTGAAAACCCTAAAACTGCTTTGATTGTAGGAATTTTCATTTCTCTACCATTTGTCTCAGGAGAACATTAATAAAATTAAAAAAAAATAAGTGCAGGTTAGTGATGAAAAAATACATACTTATAAATAAATAACACCCCATTTTTAAAAATGGGTATATGTTTTTGTTTGTTTGGGGTTTTTTTTCCCATTTTCAATAGCTGCATTTCTGTTAGTAGGGGCTGTTAGTGCTGTTCCAAGGTCTCTGTAGGTTTATTTAAAAGTGGAAGATGATCAGTTCTCATGTACACAGTCTTATAGCAACGTTCACACAGGGAACACAATACTGTGACATCTCCAGCCGCCACACCAAACATCAGCAGAAAATCTCATTTCTTCATAGGAATAATTATGGGTTAAAAACTAAACAACGGCTCCACCTCATCTGGCATCTGTCCGGTATCTCCAACTTTTCAAGCCACAATTAGTAAAGTTAAAGATTGCCATCTACTTTGGAAGAACGTCCAAGTTTGTTGTTGGCAAGTGAAGCTGTTGCTTACAGTGGAGTACTTCTTACTGGGCTAATTAATGCATACACACGAGTAGGGGTTGTAATCCCTTGTCATGAGCGACAGGAGATTAATGGTTATTTAGTGTCTGATCTGCAACATGCAGAAGTAATAACCTTAATACTGCGACATGAACGCTGGCAGAAATGAATTGCTGGTATGGAGAGTCTGACGTTACTCTCCATACTGAACCGGAGCACAAGCACTCCAAAGCAGCGACTAAACCAAGGGAGACTCGACATTTCCAGGCTGAAAGCACCACTAAGAAACAATTTATACCAATTTGGTCCAAAAGGAGCCGTGAGACGTGTAATAGTAGCTGGCTAAGAGGTGTGCCTGTGTGCTCGGACAGAAAGACCAGTGCTGTACTCCGGAATGTTAAGCTAACCAGCGAGTCAAGCGAGTTCGCTAATATTCCCGGGTCAAAAATACATCTGGGGAGCCACAGAGTTTAAGAAAAATAACCATCGAGCCACAGCGAGCAGACAGCTTGGGGAACTCACCCTCTAGAAGCCTGGAAATCAACGAGTCAACGTCCAACTCCCCCTCCGCCATTTCTGTAACGCAAAGCTCTCTACGCCCGCCGCAGTCTGGTGTACAGGCAGCGAAGGCACCGCCTCAACCCACAGCAGCTGCCCGCCAACTCCTCCCATTAAGTGTCCTGCTGTTGCATTAAATGACCCTCGGAAATTTGGTTAATCCGGCGAAAGAACAGAAAATTTGACTCCAAAGATTTGAATTTCTTCCGATAAAATGTGACAAGCACTTCAGAATGCAACCCAAATCGACCATACGAAGGCCACACATACAGCAGTGGTTTATGGTAAATGTAGTTTAAGAACTACATTAATATAGGACTTCAGGGAAATCAAAGATTGTGTATTGCTTCAAAACTGTCCAAGATTGTACTGGTGTCATTTTCTTTACTGGTATATTTGGACTGTTTTCCCAGTTCCCAGTCCTTTTGCCGAATATGTTTCAAAGTTTTCTGGTGTTTATTACATCAATTAAGCTTGAACTTTGAATACGTTAAGCATTAAGAAAGTGTACGATTATCAAAACTTCATATCCATAACAAAAAAAAAATAAATGAACTCAGCATGCTTTTCTTTTTCTTACAATTTACAACATAATAACAAAACAGCACACAAAGAACTACACAGAAGCTGAGCAGAAACCAGATGGATTGACATAAGAAAACACAATGATCAAAATGTGTAAAAACAACTAAAAAAAACACACACACACACACGCACACACACACACACATAATAGTCCAATTGAGTAGATGCAGCTCTCAGGTCTTCAAGGAATCTTTTTCTGAGGTGAAGGTCATACCATGAGTTTTGGCTCTCACATAAGTACCAAACAGAAGACTCTTCCTGCAGAACTAGAGGAATCTGGGGTGATAAAAATAACTGACCGAAATAAATCTGACAACTCCTCCCATTAAGTGTCCTGCTGTCAGGACATCAAAAGTCATCAAAAGTCATCAAAAGTTTTTCTACCGACAAAATGTCATTTTTGCAGCATTTCAATGTGGTGTCTGAGGTCTCTTCATTGTTTTTCAAAGGGGCGTCACTTGTGCTCTTAATGTTGCCCATCAACTTGTCGAAATAGGACTTCAGATGTTTTATTACTCTCGTCATATATACAAGTTGTAATGAAGGATTAAAAAAAATCGTTTTCTTGGCTTACAGCACCCTCTGCTGGTCAGAGTGATGCACACATGTTTTTTGTAGCGCTACAGCGACTGCAGAATTCCCTTATTAATTTTTTTGTTTGTTTTTTTGTTGTTGTTTTTTTAAGAAAGAAAATTTGCATTAGTAGCTTATAAACGTCGCTACTAATGCCACATACTGATGGTTGGATCACAGCTTTTAAAGCTTTGGGAGTCGTTTTTTGTCAGCGAAATAAAAAGCCATGCTGCTCAAAGAGCTTCGACAAAATCACGGCGGATGTTCTACTTTTTAGTGAGGATGAAAACCACGAGCGCTCGCTTCTGGCGGAGATGGAAAAGGACACAGGTCTCTCTCTCCCGCTCTTGTTATTGCCTCGCCCACTCGCAACTTATTTTTCTGTTCCTTTAAAGTGCGTCATTTGGGTATTTCCGCACTGTTTGAGTGGGCGGTGGTGAGTTGCACCAAGAAGGAAAATCAAAGAGCAGCAGCTGTCAAGCTCCACAGGAGTCAGCGCCGGAAGCCGACGAATACTATTTTCAAAATAATAGTCCTAGGTGACGTTCATCTGGGCACAGTCATCTTCATGTATTTGTGAATAATTTTGTTTTTATTTGCTTTACTTATTTGTAGTTAGGAAGATTGAGCTCACAAGCAAGCACACACACACACACACACACACACACACACACACACACACACACACACACACACACACACACACACACACACACACACACACACACACACACAAACTATTTATTGTGTTTGTATTTTTGATGTATTTTCAATTACAGAGTACATGAAATGTGACACCAGACCATAAGAGGCAGAAATGAATAAGCTGCAAGCATTTACTTATGACTGTAATGTTTATCAGTTGAAATCTTAAATCAAAGTTGTAAATTGAACAGAATTTCAAATTTAGAACTCTGAGGCAAAGTTAGAATGTAACTCTTTTTTCATTCACAAAATTTAAACCTATAAGCTAACATAGGTTTAGTTAGCCTATGTCTTGTTTGCTGATACCGCACACCTCACTACCATCTTCCTGTCTTTGTGGTTTTACCTGACATCTGGAACATAAAGTACAGCAATATTTGTGACTCACTTTGATTGAAATTTATAGATTGTGTAGACTCAAAAAAAAAAACATGTTTTAACTATAAGTGAAATAGAATAATTATCTCATTCAGATTTGGTATTAATTTGTACTTCTTTGCATTTCAAGATTCAGACTTTCTTAATATTTCCTGTCTGACTAATAGAGCAAACTAGAGGCAGTTTGCCCTATTTGTTTGTTAGTGAATAGTCACTAAATTCTGGCTGGATAGCCCGTGGGATCCAAGACAAATCCATCCTGCAACTGAATTGTAAAATACAAAAAAGAGTCTTCGTAAAGTTATGTAAAGAATGCCGTGTCTTAAAGCTAATTTCATCTTTCTGGTTCAGATTCAGATTGATCAATTTTCCTCTATTTGAACTTTTTTATTGTTTTATTTCACAGTATTAGATAAGATTACAAAACTGGGAAATAAATAATATATCTTAAAGTCTGTTTTAAGATATAATAGGATAATTTTTATTCTATTACGACATGCTTCGTATCTCATTAAGACAAGATTTACATCTCATCGAAACCAAAATGTGCTTTTGTTTCAATCAGAATAGCCAAAAGCCTACGTGTCGCAGGACAAATCATTGTGAACAGCATAGAAAATTATTACCACCACCCCATATTCCTTAATTTTATTACAGAAATGGGGTAAAAAAAATAAATGTAATCAAATAATATACTGTCTGATTTTCACCCTGTTCTCCCATGCGAATTTAGAAATGTTTTGTGAAACAAATTAAAAACAAAATTGCAAAGTCAGGTTTTTACCTTAATGTTGATCATTAATTCAAGTAAACAATGTGGTTATGAGTTTAAACACAGGTAGTATGTATTTCCCAAACATAAAGGTCAAGATTAGACAATATGAAACGGAAGGTCAGTGGTTGGGGTGTCCGGTGGGCCCAGGGCCTCATATTAAGTTTGACAGGCTCTGAAATGGCCACATTTTATCTACTTTAGAAATTTGTCAGAGGGGTGACTCAAAACAATTGGCACTATTTCAGTCGCAATTGCTGACTTTGACAGTGGGACATTGCGCAAAAACCAAACAAGCAGCTGGTGCTGTTTGTTCTCTGAAGCACACGCTGTATTTCTAGGCTGCTTTTACCGGAAAGCGAGCGAGTGCTTGCCCCGGCGCTTTACTGTGTGGGTGGGGCGGAGGAGGCCACAGCTCCGCACTGTCAAGAAGTTTTTCGACTTCACATTGTCGTTGTTGCAAGCAACGTCTGTTTTTTTTTTTTTTTTTTTTTTGCTAAGAAACACAAAAGACAGAGGACAGGTGGCGTGAGGAAAAGCGGTGTGATAAGAGGAGTGCGAGGCGGAAACGGACACAGCCATGGACGGTAAGTAAAGCTGCTTTTATTGGCTCTGCTGCTTGGCAGGAGGTGAAACTGTACGGGTAGTTGTTTTGCGAATAGGGAAAGCCCCGCTCTCGCTGGGTTTGCGCGAACAGGACAGGAGGTTGCTCTCGAATTGTAAGCTAAACTCTAACCTAAAGTTTAGTATTTGTAATTAATTTCCTAAAGGATATGACTTACAAATTTCGAACTTGTTTGAACTATTTAGCCTGTTGGCGGCGACTTCACCTGGCCTCGAACCTGTCGCCCTGCCAGGAGGCCTTGTGGGTCGGTCCAAAAGGAGTGACTGCCGTACTCCACTCAGAAGTCCCGCAGTTTGATGTTTCTCCATCCCTCTGATGAAATGCGAATTATCAATTATACTCAAATACACTAATCTGATATATGGCACTCTTCACCTTATGTTCGGGCTGCATTTTATCTACTACACTTGTTTATTTCAATGTTAAAAATATCTTTATTTTGTATAACTTCATCTAGCCGCCCAGCTGATTTCTTAAATCAGGCAAAAAATAGGAAAAACGTATGCAGCAGCAGTGGAGCGGCCATTAAACAGTTTTATTTATTATTGTCTCAATATTCGGCTTGATAAGACAAACGAGATCACTTCAATAATAATTTTATAGTGACGTCTATGTTGGGTCACTTAAAGTGAAAGTGACATCCAGCTGCCCCAAAACCCTTCAGCAGTTATGATATTAGTGCACCGAAAGTGTGTGTGACAACAGTCACACACACTCATAGGCATTTACTTTCACTTTCATACGAAGCTGAAACTAGCATAAATTATGCCACTCTGATTAAAAATAACAGTTGCATTTCCATAATTTTATTAACCTGAATTTTAATTTTGCATGTATTAAAAAAAGTACAGCTTCAAAAGGATACATTGAGCTGGTCTATATTTAAGCAGGGAAATAAAGCTATGAGCATTATATTAAAAAATATATACATACATTTTCTCCATCTTACAGTTATTTAGTGTAAGCCCTAGAAAGCAGGCAAGTTCCAGCTTGGAAAGCATCCCACTCATGGTTCTGAAATGAATGCAGGGTGGAGCTTTTTGGCCACCTGATCTCGTCGCACCTTCTTCTCAGAAACTGGAGTTGAGCCAGCTTTTTTCCTCTATAGCAACAAATCTGGTAATGCGAGACGCCGGCACTTCACCCCCTTGTTTGCACTTTTCCTCACTCCAGTGCCTCTGGATCTTTGGCGAGCGGTTTACGAGCAGTAATTATATTTAGCTGGGAAGCCTGTGTATCTCGGCGGCCTCCTGACCTCCCCTGGTCGCTGCGCCGTCTGGTAGATTTCCACTCGGACTGCACCACAAATGACAAACTCGTTCTAAAACCTCAAATATGCACTGAGTCCTGCTTGTTTTTTACTGTGTTTTAGTCATTTGTGCGGCGGGTTGTGTCGTGCGTCACTTAATGCAGATGATTAACTGTTACTCCTCTTGGGAGTTTATCTAACCCTATCTCTCTGTCACCCCCAGGTGTGTACGGATGGGGCATGACCTCCATTAACCAGGGTATGAAACTATTTTTATTTTTTACTTTTAAACGTGCAACCGTTTTTGCCTCGTTTGTATACTGATTATTGATCATCTTGACATCAATGCCCCCACCAGTCCAACCAGCGAGCCCTTACATAGAGATCATCGAGCAGCCGAAGCAGAGGGGGATGAGGTTCCGCTATAAATGTGAGGGTCGCTCAGCTGGCAGCATTCCTGGAGAGAAAAGCAATGACACCACTAAAACCTACCCGGCCATCAAGGTTGGTCAAACCAACGTTTTCCTGCTTTGATCCGATTTAATGAAGCACAAAATTCACATATTTACCGGTCAGACTCCGACCTGTCGCTGCACAGTTTCTGTTTTCATCTTAGGTCTTCAATTTGAATGGGATTTTATGAGATAACCCAACACAAAGTATAATTTTGAATGGAAGGGGAGCGTCGTATAGTTTTCAGTGGTTTGCACAAATAAAATCTGCAAATTGTCACATTGCAATTGTATTCAGTTCTCTGAGTCAATATTTTTAAATCATTTTACTGATTCTTTGTAGAATAGCTAAAGCTCGGTTAGATTCAAAAGATAATTTTAGTCAGCACAAATTTTCAAATCTCTCTGTAGATCAGGGGTGTCAAACTCAAATACACAGTGGGCCAAAACTTTAAATTGAACAAAGTCGCGGGCCAAGGTTGAACAAATGAATCTTTTGATATGGACCCAACAAGTTCTAATATAACAATAAATATTGAACAAGCAAAGCTTATCTAACTTAAAAGTGCAGGTGTGCAAAATTGAGTTGCTAATAATAATAAAACATATTATCATATTAAATAAAATAATAAATAAAATGTATTTAATATATGAAATAAAATATTAAACATATTAAATAAAATTTAAATAAAAATTGAATGCCTCCTTTCTGACCTAAATGTCAAAATTAGGTTTGTACACAGGCTAATAAATTTGAAAATAAATCATTAAATAAACTATGAATAAACCATTCAGGCCTTGGCGTAACAAGAAAAGGTGCATAGAAAACTTATTTATTGCTCATTTTGCGCCACACTGATCTACTCTGATGCGGCCAAGCCAAATACCTGTCATTAATGACGTTGAGTTCATCAATGTCGGGCCTCGTGGTTTGAGCTGACGAAACAATTCATTATCGAAAAAAAGGTGTTCGTCAGTCAGACGTCTCCTGTGAGATGTTTTAGTCATTTTATTGAGGAGAAAAGTTGCTCACATAGGTAAGTGCTGGTGCGCAAGAAGACGGATCACCACCTTCATAATACACCCATGTCCGCTACCATAAGTGCTACTGACACAGAGGAGAAGGCGTGTCTGCCTCTCAGTGGCGGAGCTAGACTTTTTTCCAAGGAGGGGCCAAAGGGTGAGCAAGGCTTTATCAGAGGGTCCATATACAAATGGACCGTTCCATGGAACGAAAGGAAAAAAATATTTGTTTCCTTTCGTTTAAAATTAATTAATGTAACCAGTGAGGTTATAATTCAAAGCTTTCATTTGACATAGCCTACTTACATTTCAGTCATTATAAAACTTAATGGTTTTCACATATTCTTACCACACACATTTCAAGCAAGAGCTGGGAGATATAAAACATGAGAGGGCAGCATGTGCACGAAAACATATGTTAAAAGAATCTGTCTAAAACACGATCTATCAGCACTAGCATGGCTAATATAATAAACGAGGTACTATGCAGCGGTGCACAACCATTTTTTTTTATTTTTTTTTTAGAAATGTTGGACAAGTGCCGCCTCTCATTAGGAAGGTAACAGCGGTTACCGCTCAGCGGTAAAATGTAAATACCTGCAGAACTCCTCGACGGTGTAACTCTAAAGCCACGGGTGTGTTTTGGATCAAGCAGGAACCACATGTCAGTTTAACCAATGAACAGCGTCGGGTATCGGGCTGCTTTCAGGGGCAGTCGGAAATTACAGTTTTCCTGGCAAATCTTTGCCGATCTCATAAGTATTATATTTTAAAATGACCATTTCCAGTGGGGTGGCACTAGGGGTGGCCAGGGGTCTGTTGAGGGTGGCAAGTGCCACCCCTCTGGCTCCGCCACTGCTGCCTCTGTCCTGATTGACACGCCAAAAAACAGCAGAGCATTATGGATTCGTAGTATAACCGGTGAATGTGGCGTCACCGCATTGCCACCGTATAATACCGGTGGGCCGGCTCTAATATTGATTTGAAATTGCCTCGCGGGCCAAATATAATTACACTGCGGGCCAAATTTGGCCCGCGGGCCAGAGTTTGACACCTATGCTGTAGATCAAGTTGAATTTATGTCTGGCCTATTCTAGCACATGAATATGTTCTGATCAAAACCATTTCGTTGTAGCTTTGACTGTAGGGGCAGACCGATCGCTCCAACTGATTGGTTTTTTTGGCCAGTCACCAATCTTTAAAAAAGCCTGATCTATTGATCTGGATTAGTAATGCTCCGATCAGGTTTTATGCTGCCAATACCGATCACCCATGAGGGTTGATTATTGCCGGTCACCTGGATTGGCTGTTAATTTTTTGCATTAGGTATAACTGCTAGTTTGTGATCTGGCAAAATTAAAGAATGATCTGGCAATAAATTCACCTAATTTAGACATAAAACATGCCAAATATTTGCAGGTTCGATACAGCAACTACTTGGTCAAAAGGACAATTGAAAAACCTGCAATCAGTAAAACAATATTTAAGAGTAAGGCTCTACACAGCCTAAATTATACACGAGTCAAATAAATCTTACAACACTGACCAGATTAAATAATGTCAAGAAAAAGAGGAAACATTCATTCAAAGTTAAATGCAGGTTGTATCAAAATAAACAAAATTAAAACTTCCTGCTAGCATGGTTCTCATTGGCTGTTTGTGACCGAGCGGAGTAATTCTGCAGAACACAGGAGGCAGAGGAGATCGAGTTTTTTTCCACTGATTGTCTATCTCATGTTAGGACATAAGGAAAGTTTTAATGCATATGTAAAATCTTCTGTTTTTTTGTTTAAGTTGCATGCTGCAGCTTCAAGCAGACGTTCAGTGTGAGAATTCACTGCCAGTTGGAGGAGAAACGGCGCTCCGTCTGAAATATTGCTACCAGTAGCACGTAGCTGCGGTCCAACGGTGACAGCATGATCAGCGTCTTACTCTGCTAGCTCGAAGACTTAAATAACTTTTTGGATTATTTGTTTAGTTTTCTGACTATCACGCTCTTTCGGGTGAGTGTTGGTAGTGGTGCACTCCTTTGTCTGCTGTCTCATCGCTCCGGATGTCTTTTTCTTGCAGTGAGCCTCAATAGCCCTCCATACTCCGTCAATGCTTGTTTTTTAAGTGTTGCATTAGATTTGTTGTGTTGATGCATTTTGACATGCTTCAGCAATGAGGTATTTCCCAATCATTGTCAAGAGCATTGAAGTTCTTCACCACATTGCTTACTATTTGTTGCCTCAGTGTGATGGAATGATTAAATACCTTTGCCTGTTACATTTGTATAGGGAAGCATCTGTGTGAAAAGTTGTTTGAGAGATGATGAAACACTCAGAAATAATAATTATAATAACAATAATTGAAATGATCAAGAAAAGTACACATTTAGGTTGAAAGATGAATAACATATGAGCCAGGAGTCGCCTAGGTAACCATGCCTCAGATGCTTTGATGATTAGCTGTTGTCCCGTTGAGAATAACACTGCGTGCAAGATTCCAGTAGTGTTCCTAGAAAAGCTGATGGTGCTTCTAACAGAAGCCAGAAAATGTGATTGTTTTCATGTGTTGCCTAAACTGGGAATACCCCTAAAGATTCATGTGGACAGTGAAACCAGGGGCCATTAAAAGGCAGGTGTGAAATAGGAAGTAAACGCTCTCAAGCTTGGAAACAGTCGCTATTTTGAAACTGAACATGACCATATTTGGACTGAAAGGTTGACATTTGGACACTCGCCTTGACCTCAATACACAAATGATATTTCAACATTTATGTATTTTTTTGTTGTGTGTTTTTTCTCCATGGTTCAGAATAGTGATGCTACACACTGTTATAACACACTGGTATTCTTTGTAGTATAGCTAAAGCTCAGTTAGATTCAAAATAGAATTTTAGTCAGCACAAATTTTCAAGTCTCTCTGTAGATCAAGCTGAATTTAATATTGTCCTTTTGCAATATTAATATCACATGCATTGTTATTACAGTGACATACAGTATTTGGTACGCAAATTTTTACAAACACATTTGGGAAAGGATTTTTGTTAGTTTCCACTCATCAGAAAAACAATTATTTACTGTAAGAAAAAGAAAAAACAAAAGGTATTGTTCAAAATCTTAAGAATCTTAACTTTATGTATCTTAATTTAAAGCTTTAAAATGTCTTAAATCCACTGGAAATTGTTTAAGTTAGCCTTAAAAACATTTATCACAGGTCTTACATTTTGTTGTAGCATGACTATTTGTTTTTTTTTTTGTGGGACTTTTCTGTCAGGCAAAAGTTTGACTCACACAGACGTCTTCATTACATTCTGACACTTGAGACAGTTGAGGATACTGCTACCTATCTGCTGATATACCTCTGCTAGCAAGCTTGCTAGCTTTTTTTTGTGTCTATTTAAACGTAATTTATCGCCAATTCGCTAGACGATATTCGTTTTTGCCACCTGCTTACGTATTTTGCCAACCCATACAACACTATGTACATTCTGTCCAAAAAAGCTTGGCACTTCCACATAAAGTAACCAATTTTCTTTTGCATATTTCTATTGTGATATAGGTCTTTAAAAAGGTCTCAAATTTGTGTTGGTGAAACCTGCACACATGCTGTAAAAAAATCAAAGTTGCCGTTTTCAATGTTTCTACATAAAGCACAGTGATTGGCTGTTCTTTATTTGCTATTGGATGACTGAGAGCCATTAAACCTGCTCTGTTGTTTCTGTTTCAACCAGCAAATTTGACTCGTTTTGTCTGACAGGTTCACAACTACAGCGGCCCGCTCCGGGTCCGCATCTCCCTGGTGACAAAGAACCCACCGCACAAGCCCCACCCCCACGAGTTGGTTGGAAAAGACTGCAAACATGGCTACTATGAGGCCGACCTGCAGGAGAGACGAATCCACAGGTGGGCTTGTCGATCCTTGGATTTGGTTTACAGAATGAATCCTCCATGTTTCTGGTCTTTGCAGTGCAAGTTAAGCAGCCGTGCAGATAAGGGATAGTTTTCGAAGTAAATTAAAAGAGCGTGACGACAAGTAAAGGACAGGAAAAACCAGATAGATTGTTTTGATAAGTGACTGCAGCTCTCAGTCTTTGACTAAAATTACCTACATTCTTTTCTTGCATGTTAGTGACGCACTTCATCCAAATCTTCACTTTATCCACTTTAGAAATTTCATCAGTAAAGCTACCACCTCCGCCTTCTGTGTGGGCATGAGTAAAACATTAACTGGACTCAATAGGTCCAGTGAACTGTTAACTTCCTCTTCAGGGATTGATCTACTGACTAAAACAGTCTTTTACTGGAAAGGGTCTCGTCAAAAAGGAAGCAGCGCTCTCTCAGGTGTTCTTTACGATCAAAAACTTAAAAACGCAAGTCAACTGTTTGACGCCAGCGCCTTGTGTTTTATCACCAAACCTGTCTTCCTGGTGAGACTGAAATATGTCAGTGTGGTTTAAAACAGGAGTGATGAAATCCTAACAAACAGCATGTACTCCCAGTGGTTTGAGTTAATCCACTGGGTATATTAGTCATTTAATAAAAAAAAAAAAAACTTTACACAAGGGCTTTATAAGTTTGCCCGATTAAAAGGATTATAGGAACCTGAACATGAAGGACATTTATTTTTAAGCTTATTGAAACCAACATAGATATTGCCATAAATGGATATAAATATGTTTAAATGTATATTTTATATAATTATATATTAGGGTAAAAAAAGTATTGTTCTGCTCAGCATTGTTCCCAGAAAGGAAATTCAAAGGGACAATTCTTGCAAAAAATGTACAACTGTAAAATAAAGCCAAAAGAAAAAACAAAACAACCAATATCTGTAATTCTCCAGATCAATACCCAATCAGCCAAAACATGGAGCTCTGGCATCCCTTGAATAAAACTTGGTGTATTTGCCCTTTAGTTTTCAGAACCTGGGCATTCAGTGTGTGAAGAAGAAGGATGTCAATGAAGCCATCACTTGCAGACTGCAGACCAGCAACAACCCCTTCAACAGTAAGTGAAAGAAATGTTCTACTTTTGAGTTGCTGCATTCTCTCCTTAGCTCCCAAATAGACTGGAGATAATACAGATTTAATTTGAAATGCAAATCAGATTTATTACAACTTCAGCAGGATGTTATTAACAAACCCTGTCTTAACAAGGTTTGAGACAAACAGTTTGTGTCAAACAGGGTTTGACAGACAGGGTTTGAAAATGTTTCTGTTTCTTTTTGTTTAGTTTTTTTTGTTTGTTCAAGCGTTCCACCTTCTCTTGACAGGATGCAGTGCTTAGTCAGACTGCTGCGCTGTGTGATTACACTCCCCACCCTTTTCCTCTCTCTGTTTTGATTGCAGTTCCTGAGCCCAAGGTGTGGGAGGAAGAGTTTGACCTGAATTCTGTGCGACTTTGCTTCCAGGCCTCCATCACCCTTCCCACGGGGGACATGTTTCCTTTGCAGCCCGTTGTCTCGCAGCCCATCTTTGACAACAGTGAGTTGGAAACGCGATACTCAATATTGGCTGATGAAAGCCCCCCAAAAATAATCATTTATCAAGAGCTCACTTATTTAGATGAAAAAGTTGGTTTTGTGCAAAAGTGGGAAAATGTTTAGGCCTAAACCTGTGGTGTGTAAAGTTAAAATCATGGTAAATTAATTCTAAACACTCAATTTCTATCATTTCACTAAGTCTCACTGGCCTAACTTCAATGGGTAAAGGGATATTTTGTGATGAGAGTTGAGAAATATTGGCAAGGATATTTTTTGTTGACTAAATCTTCCCAAATTTACTTTTAGAAGAAAAAAGAAGACGAGAAAGCACAGTAATTTTCACCAACTTATTGATCACCTTCTAAAACAAGACTTCAAGTTGAGTGAGGCAACAGTTTAAAGCATGAGATATGGCCACTTGCAGGTGGGAGTTAGAGGTTATTTGAACCAAATTGCAATAAACTCAGAATTATTTGCATGAATTTCCACGAAACTGGAGGGACCGATCAATGCTGGTAGCTACCACACCGCAACTCAAATCACTTCAGATGTATTTGAGACAGTCTGTGACTGGTTAATGGATTAAAGGGTTTTGGTTGGCCAACAACCAAAAATCTGACAAAATTTTAGAATCTATTTACTGGAATGGACCAGTTTGATCAATTGGAAGGAAACTCAAAATGTATATATTTGATGAGCCGTAGAACTGCTGCTGGTGACAGAGAGCAAGACTTTGGCCAGATAACAGGACAAATCATGAGAAAGTTGCTCTGTTTTGAAACATTCTGGATTCGGAAATGTTGGCATCCTTGTGGAAACGATGGCATCAAGAAAATAAATACACCCAGAAATCCCCAGCCACACCAACAATGCTAATTACTAGTGTAAGATGCTAGCGCTTGGTTAAAGTGTCAACTAGTCACATTTACATGAGTAACTTTTTGGGAAAAATATACCTTTAGGAGTATTTTTACTAGTATTTTTACTTTTACTTTGGTAACTTTATTATGAAGAATTGCTTCTCTTACTTCAGTAAAATTTCTGTTTATGCTTCCCACTAAGAGTAACTTCACTGAATAAAGAACAAGCCTTGTTTTGACCAAAAATTCACCAGACACGCAACTTTTGTTAGTAATTCATTAGCTTTATAATGAAAGAAACTGATACAGAAAAAAATTCACCTCTGCATCTCACTAAGTTGCAGAGGTGAGAAGAATTTTCACCAACTTATTGATCACCTACTATATCAATAAGTTGGTATAAAAGGTGATCTGTACCAACTTGAAAAATCTCTTTTTCGAGGTTTGAAACGCTGTCCTGTTAACGTAGGCTTCTGTTGCCTTTGAATACTCATAAAAGACACTCGAAATTCCTTTTTTGGTTCAAAAACAACCCGTCGAGAACATATGGTACAACTGATATTTTGTACCATATTAAGAAAAACCTTGTTTTACAGTGATTTCTATACTTTAACCATGTTCTGATATCGACTTCACCCCCAATCTCAATAATAAGAAGGCAAAATATATATTTTCAGTATCAGAAAACGGTTCTTAAAAGTAACTCAAAATTAGCTTCCGTCAACAAAAATTATGTTAACTTGCTAAATCGATTTAAGACTATTGATGACAGCCTTCAGTGTCTTTATTTACTTTCGTTTCAGTGAATAAATTTGATTTTATTCTGATGTAATTTCATCTATGAGTTACCCTTTGTCAAGTGAACTTAGGGCAAACCTGTGAAATTCTCTCTGTGTGAAGCGTTTCCTCTCAGCTTCAGTATAAACGATACAGCATTGTGAGCAGCTTATTGCTAATGTTTTCTGATAGCGATCATAATGTCACGAGAAAATGGGCTATTATTACAAATTCAATTTATGTCGGTACCTTCTTGTAGCCTCAGATGCTCTTTGTTCCTCTTTGCTTACCAACTTTTCTCATCAGCCTGAAGATACTGACAAGAACTGATCTCCAGATTAGCCACATCCTATTTTCGTGCAGTAAACTCAAATTATTCTCTGCTGCAATCCTTTACTGAATATTTGTTTTACAAGTAATAATGTATATATTTTTTTGTCTTTCAGGAGCCCCGAACACAGCCGAGTTGAAAATCTGCAGAGTGAACCGTAACTCTGGCAGCTGCAGAGGAGGGGATGAAATCTTCCTCCTCTGCGATAAAGTGCAAAAAGGTGCCTGTCATTTGAATACATTACTACAGCTTTTAACTTACACGTTCATACTGAGCAGTCTGTAAATAGAACTCAGAAGTGAGTAAGCAGAGATGTGGCTTATGAAGCATATAATTCGGCGAGGCAGAAAACTGCTCGCACCCGCAGGAAGTCAGGGTCTGTTGCCTCGTTTGAAGAGAAGCACACAGATGTTTCGTATCAGCCAAAAATATTTGTTTTTAGATTGCGTAAATGCATAAAGCTGTTTTCAAATGATGATTTAGTTTAAGTGTAAAATCGACCCAAACCAGGACTCATGAATTACCACATTTTTACTTTTGTCACAATTGGCATAAATAGAGCCTTTCCGTCAACGTGAAGTAGCCTAAAAAATCTCATACCACTAATATTCAGAAATTCAGTCACAGTCATTGAAATGTATTAGTCTGCATAGTGTCACAAAATCATTTTTGAGGCTTTTAGACTCCAAGAAGCCACAGTTTAGCCATTCCAAACAAAATGGAGAAAATATAAAACAGTGCAGAACCTTCTTTAGGACTTCTGAAAGAGTCAAAAGCTTGCAGGTCTGTCACATTACACGTACGGGTCAGATAAAATAGTACCTTGGCGAACCCGGATGTGGCCCACAAGTCCTGCACTCGTAACGCCTGATCTAGGACATAAAACATCTGATAACTTTTCAACAGCGGAAGGCGTACGGTCGTGTGACTGGATATCGGACTTATCTAGAGTGCCCAAAATGAGCTGGCGCTGCAGTTTGTTGCAAATGTTCAGTTGTGTTCCTGTCACTTCTCAGATGACTTCTGTAGCGTGGCTGTCTATGGCCAAAAATAACTTTTCTGCAGCATTAAACTTTCGGTTGGAAGACCTTCTGGTTTCAGATGGCGTCATGTTGCAACTGCAGGGTTTTGTTTCTCTGTTGCTGTAGAGTTGCAGTACAACAAAGCAGTAACACTGTATCTAAACAAACAAAATCTGTTCTTGTAATAGTAAATTATGGGTTTAATTATGTACTGATATAGACGTGCACTATCTTACTGACATTTTTATACTCGTTTGAACTTTTCCACATTTTATCACCATACGAGTTTAAACTTTTTTGTGGGATAGACAACATATAGTTTTGAAGTTGGGGAAAAGGACACATGGTTTTCAAAATCTGAAAAGTCTTGTGCATTTGAATTAATTTTATTGCAACTGCTGCAGCAATTGCAATAAATATCTAGAGACTGACATTTCAGGCAGATGTTCTTTGCAAATGACCAAATATTTCCAAAAGAATTTGATCACTTGCCTTGCCTATAAACTTAAATGACATTGTATTTAAGTTTATAGGCCGTTGACCCACAAGCTGTCAATATTTTTTTCAACCAAAATTTCAACAGCTGATTTGTGTGGTCAGACATTGATGTTGGATGAGATGGCCTGGCTCATTGTCTCCACTCTCAAATCACTCGAATTCCTTCACATAAAACTCACCTATTCATGAACAAGCTGGGTGTTTCTATGCATCATGTTTTCACTTTCAAACTGTTCCTGCAGAGTCAGGAAAATAGAAATTGTCTCAAAATGTCTCCACAAGTCTAGTGCTTTTCGTGGATCTTGAGGGTCAAGTCAGCCTGAAGATACTGACAAGAACTGATCTGACCAGAACTGAGAACGCCCCCAAAAAACAAACCCAACTGCCAAAAAGCCATGCCTTAAGCCCAAAAACCAAACCCAACCTACTGTTGCCCTCTGGCCTCCAAATTTCACACTTGCCAAAATGATGTCAGAAAACTACTATTCCCCTAGCAACTGCCCAACCCAGACTTGTAGGAACTGAGATGGGTCACTGCAGAAACCAGAAATCCCTAGAACCCATTCCATGAAGCTCACTACATTCTGTTCTTGTGTTGGTCTCAAATCAATTCCTGGTAACCCTTGTTTTCTAAATCTTGCCGGTTTGCCTTTCCTCCTGCAGAGGACATCGAGGTCCGGTTCTTCCAGGACTCCTGGGAGGGGAAGGGCACGTTCTCTCAGGCTGACGTCCACCGGCAGGTGGCCATTGTGTTCCGCACACCTCCCTACCGCGACACTAACCTCAGCGAGCCCATTAAGGTGAAGATGCAACTCAGAAGGCCCTCTGACCGTGAAGTCAGCGAGCCGATGGACTTCCAGTTCCTACCTGCTGACCCAGGTAATAGACGTCAGTGTTTATTTAAAGGCTCTCGGAAAATAATTGAAAAAAATAGTGTAATATGTATGAAACCTAATAATTTGCCATTTCGATGATCCATTTGCAGATGAATACAGGCTGACTGAGAAGAGAAAGCGTACAGGAGACATGTTCCAAAGCTTGAAGCTGGGATCTATGTTATCAACTGGTATGTTATGGCCTGGATGGCCTTCTTTTTGTAATTATCATTATGCTTACATTGAAACTAACTAACAAGCGTGTTTTGTAAAATTCTAGTATCCGTTCCGCAAGACAGACGGCAGATAAACCTCGCACGGAGACCAGCTAAACTGACTGCTATGAACACACAAGCAGGTGAGTTAGTCTCATCCGCTTGTTGTCCAGAGTCGGTTTTATTAATTTGATCAGGGAAGACATAAAACAATGTTAACATAGTAACATATCTTGAATGACATTAATTGCTGGCGAGCATTGCTAATCCACCTCCTTTGCTTTTGCCGTTCCTCTTTAGATCTGTGTCAGTGGTCAAATCCTCTCTGATTTGGGGTCATAGTTCATGAATTCTTCGAGTTTTTGAGACGCTAATCAGCTGCTTCCACTTGGAAAACACATGACCTTGTTGCCACTGTTACACATAATAACAACCTTCCAAAGGTTAAAATGTGACACCAAGAATCAAGATCCAAACGTGCAACACCTTTAACATAAAAATGATTAGCAAGTCTACAAAATTTAGAGCTAGTATAACAGAGGTTCTCCAATATGCTTCCACCAGAAGCCACGTAGTTCTGGAATGGCTCATGTCAAAATACATTTATCACATTAAATCTGATTAATTAACTAGATAAATTTTAATGTTTTAAAATATAAACGCAACTTTCTTTTTTTGTTTGTTTGTTTTCTTGCATAGAAAAAAAAATCGAGTTCCTTTATATTATGTTTCTGGTACAACAGTAAATGTGACGCACAACTGACATCTACAAACAATAGCAGATGACAAAGCCTCTTCTCTGAGCCCACTGGGAGTAAATTGTTTTCTTCAAAAACAATTGGCTGGGACGCTGGAAACGACTACAGTTGTGTTAAAACGAGTTAGCCTGTCAGCGAAGCTAATCAAGCCTGAAACATGCTAAATATGCTGCAGCAGCAGCAGCACAGACATTCCCAAAGCTAATGTCAGTGTCTACATTTCCAAAGACGTTCCATGAATGGTCAGGATCACCTAGATAACAGATTAAAAACAACAAATATCTTTATTGTATGTTTGTGAGCCCATTAATAAATAGACACACTAGCCCTGTAATTTAGCAGCAAAAAGTGTTTTTGAATTGAAACTTTCTTTTCTCAATATGGTTTTTTGATTAAAATGCAATTGATTGCAATTAATTAATTACAGACGTCGCAATTAACTCAATGATAAATTTAGATAAATCTAGTCATTCTTGCGTGTCAATGGGTTTTCGGCCAGGAAACTGATGATGTTTTTTTTCTTCCAGCAGCGGAGGCTGCCCCTTCTGCCAGTGGGTTGAAACCCTTCTCATACAATCAACCAGGACAGCTGTTCTCTGTCCAGGCTAAGGTTGAGGCATCTTCGTCCATCTCTACAGTGACTACCAACCAAACCTGGAAGATTATGGAGAGCTTGAAGCTGGGCCCCACCAACCCGGTGCAGACCTTCACGGTGAACTCCGTATCGGCCCCTTCCTCCTCCACCACTTCCACCGCTGCCAACAACAAGTACTCCACCATCAACCTGCCAGACCTTCGCGAGTTCTTCCCCAACATTTCCTCCCCCATGGCCGAGGAGTCTGCGACTCCGCAGGGAAGTGCCGCCGCCCCACAGACTGGCAGCTCCTTCCCCCTGCAGGAGTCCCAGTTCCGGGTAGACCCCCCGCTAGTGGACGACGAGATCCCGGATTTCTCCAACTTCACCGATGCTCCGGTGCCAGGCACCCTGGACAGCCTCAACATGGATGAATTTGAGGACCTTCTGAACCCACGCCTAATGAGCGAGAGCGGATCTGCCGCGTCCATGCTGACGTCTTCCCAACAAGAAGTCCTCTCCAGCTCGGCCTCTGCGTCCCAGAACAGCGCCGCTTCCCAGAATCTCCCAGATTACGTCAACAACCCAGGAAGCACCTACATGAATTACCCCAACAGCATCGCCAACCTGCTCCGAAACGAGGACATGATTGTCCTGGCGTCCAGCAACAACAACAACCAGCAGCCCGCCGTGCTGGATGACTTCGACGTGCTGATGTCCGCCGACGAAGACCGCCTCATTTCCATTTTCAACAGCGGGAGTCAAGCTGGCTTTGTGTCAGGACACCCAACTTAATTGTTTCTCCCAAAAGGATGATTTGTAAATCCCTTCCCTGAAGACTCACTTATTAATGCAGACACAATAAAGAATGCTGGACTGACAAAAGGGTCGAAGAGGCATAAGGTAGCAAGACTTCTGTCTGTGGACAAACTCATAGAAATACAATTACCAAATGAGAAACCACGGGACTGAACGCATCTTGATTTCATTCAGCTCGTTGAAAACAATCACGGATATTGATTTATCAAGAGTAAAGACTGGGCGCGGGTCAACATGAGGTCGTCACAGTGGCTTAAATTTGAATTGAAAATACCATGATGGCATGGTATTAACTCAATTGTTTATGTTTAAAATTGCCACCAATCTCCTTGCTTTGCAACATTTCTTCTGTGTGCAGCAACAAGTGTGGGCAGCACCTATAGGAACTTCAGTTTGTTGGAAACATTTTTACAGTTAAAAAAACCATGCATTTTAAGTGTTTAAGGTTACTGATGTAGCTGGCCCAAGCCTATTAAAGACGTTTTGACGAATACGTCAGAAAGGTTGTTCTGAATAGAACATCTGTAGCTTGTTTTTTTTTCTCTTTTTTTTGTACTGTCAATGGAATAATTTTTGATAGCTAAAATAATTTTCTTCACAGTAAGGCTGGGCGATGAGGCTTAAAATTAAATTTTCAATGACATTTTTTGTTTAATTACAAGAAAATAGACCAAGTATTAGCAGACTAACGACACAATTCAACCAGAACTTCAAAATGAACAGTTTCAAAGTCCTGCTGCTTATAATTTGAAGCCGATGAGTTAAAAAAAAAAAAAAAAAGCCAGGAATGCCAAGGTTTAACTTTAAAAGATGCTCAACATTCTTTATTGAATGTTTTTATTTTTAATGGAGTTCTCTTAAAATTATTACTGCATTCTTTTTATGTTACAACTGTACTCTGGTGATATTATTGCTTCATTCTCTGATTATTTTTACTTTATTCTCAAATTGCTGCAACTGAATTTCTGTAATACTTTGACCTTACTTTTAAATTCTGACCTAATATTCTAACCTGAAAAAAAGACATTGGTGGAATTTTTTTTTCCAAAAATTAAAACCCAAAAATTTGATTGATAAAATTTGATAAAAATTTGATTTAATCGCCCAGCCCTACTTCACAGAAGTGTTTGATCTTGCTTTTTGTGCTGTTAAATAAACAGGCTGGTACATTACAATGTTATCTAATCTAGAAGAAAGTCTATGCATGGTTTTATCCAATACCACTTTCAATTGACTTCGATTTTTAATTAGGGATGCACTGACATGAAAACAGTCGATGCAGATATTTACATTACTGCTATGGCTGGTAAATGATACTATATATGTTTCCCTACCCTTTCAACAACCACACTGCTGACACCATCAATAGCTGTGTTTCCATTGACCATATAATTGCACAAATTGGAATTGCAAAATAAAATTTGCTTAGTAGAAGCGCAAAGAAAAAAAAAAGTTTTGCACAAGGATGAAGTAATGCATTTTGCAGAACTGTAATGGAACTGCTTTTTTTGCATCACCAGTCATGTGATCAACAATGGGTGTTACTACTGGAAAAAGGACAGGGACAGGAAGTAGTAGGATGGTGGTGTGGCATGTTCTTTAATAGCCTTATGTAAACACACTTTTTCATGTGATTTTAATTTTTATTTAATAGAAAAAAAATTGCAAATGTTTTATATTTTACATTAGCAGAATGTCTACAAAATTTTGCACACACTTGCAATGGAAATGCAGCTATTGTCATGTGACTAAACAAATACCACTTAAGATGACCAAAACATTGGTTGCATCAGCCCAGTTTTACATGCAGAACCAGTATGTAAAAGACAACATTGTGCATCCCTAATTTCTATGTTCACTGAAGCTACCATTCGAATGTGGTAAGAAATTAAATGAAGGTCTACATGTAAATACCATATAAGCGATGCAAGAGTTTGCTTACTAAACAGAGATTTATTCTGGTGAAGTTCTGGGTCAGGTTGTTTTTAACAGCCAAACCAGCTTAAGACTTATGTAAAAAGTATAAGTAGTAACATGCTTCCCCCCCCCAAGTTATTCTGCCTTTTTTTTCTTTTTTTATATATGGTATTTCATATATTGGATAAAGATGGAATTTGCTGTAATTAATCACTGTCCCGATTAAAAACACTCTTTGCTAATAAAAACCACAACCGTGTAAAGAAAATCAGTTATTCAGATGTGTTTTATTTGGAAATAGTGTAATATGCAGTACTTAACACGATTTGAAGCTTAAAAAAAACAACAATTCCTTCTAATCAATAAGTTCTGTTCATAACTCAAATAATCCATATAGCTCAAACAATCCAGCCAGTCCCTCAAGTGCTTTATTCCTGAATGGGATCTATCCACAGCAACTTAGAGATGGCAGAACTTAGAAAATGTGCCAGTCAAAAGAAATGGAAGAACTTGAAATACAAACTCCATCAATTTCCACCCAAAGGCCTCGTCTTAAAACCAGTCCGGGGAAAAAGGCACCCAACTAATCTTCCTTATGTTACTTCCAGATTTGTGACTTTGTTGATGATGTGTGAGCGCCTTGGCACACACTCCAGGTCGAACTTGCTCTCATAGATGGTGGGGCAGAGCTTCCAGCGGTTGTTCCTATAGATCCCCAGGTAGGTGTAGACGTCTGGCTTGTAGGAGAGGGGGCATTTAACACCTGTGGCTCGGATGAAGGAGTCCAGCTGTACCACTTCGCCTTCGTCTGTGAAGTTCTGGTTATAGGCGCAGATCACCTGTTTGCCTTCCGCCTTGGGGTTGTAAGGACTCACTTTGACCAGGGAGATTTTCCCCTCCAAGGTTGCTCTGGCCACACACTCCCACGCGTGGTCCAACTTGAAGCCAGAGGCCAAGTGCATGAGCCACTTTCCGGAGAGTACGCCGTGGTTGAGAGCCAGTTCTTTCACAGTCTGAAAGGTGACAGGCCGGGAACTGGTCAGCAGTTTGTCCCAGCTCTCCTGGAGACCAGACACGTCACCTGTAGACGGGCAGTGATTGGGACCCAGCACGGCTATCCACCCCACACGATTGACCCCGTTGTCCTCGTCCCCAAACCGGTACACCTGGGAGGGTCTGTTGCTCTCCAGCCAGCCATCAAACTCGGACCGGGGGGTATTTCTGGAGTCGAAAACGATCCAGGGGTCCATGTCCGCAGCCATGGCCTCCGCGGCGTAAGTCTCTGCGGAAAGGGGGGTCTCCGGCTCGCCGTCCGCGGGGGCTTCTTCCTCCATGACGCCGTCAAGTGTGCGCTCGAGACTGTTGACCGAATCCTGAGGGAGGAGAGCACACGCAGTTGCTGAGTACTACAGTTTAAGTCGGTTTGTTCTACTTCGCCCGTACCGCTAATTAGAATTCCACACCCATAACAATAGCTAAATAGCAACAACGTCCAAACCAACGTTTTCTGCCCAATACACCCCTCTCCACCGTCTGATAAGGCTTGGAGAAGAAATAAACAATCACCTCTGCCCTCCCGCTGAGGCTAGCCCGCCAAGCTAGCCACTTTCGAGCACAAAAACTACTTTTTGAGCAATTTTGAAGGAGCAGCAAGGACTGACAAGTCACCTTTGAACGCAACAGGCGATATAAAATCCACACGCAGTCTGTGGAATTAACAAGTCGTGAGACGTGGCGCATAAATGCGGTCAGTCTACCTGTTGTAGCTCACGTTGTTAGCCAGTGTTGCTCTTCTTCTGCTCCAGGGCGCAGCGATGTTGTTAAAGTTAGCTTCTGATTTGAAGCTTTAAAGAGACATTTCTGCGTTTTAATAGGCCTGTTTTTTTAAAATTGCAACTAATATAATATCTAACAGATTTAGATTAATCAAACTTGGTCTGAATTGTTCTATAATTTTTCTCTGTCTTCGTAATCTCAAAATGTAATAGTCTAAAACCCCATAATTAAAACTTTCTGTAGAACTTTCACTTTTGTGTGTGTGTGTGTGGTTGAAATAGGCTTCCATAAAAAGCAGCAAGTTGTTAGCTGTAAGAAAAATAATAATTTCCTATATGTTTGACTTTGGTGAAAAAAGAAGAAAGTCATAAGAAGTCCTGCATAGTGCAAGCCATGAACAGGACTCTAGGCATGAAGTTAAACAGTGCTGCAGGACTCTAGGCATGAAGTTAAACAGTGCTGCAGGCAAATTGACAGAAAATACTGCAAATAAGACACAGAGGTGGCAGCAGTATGCTGTGAAATAATGTGAAAAATTGAGAGAAATGCAAAATCGGTGCGAAAGATCTAAATATTGCAGTTTTTAAGGTTTCATTAGAATCCTAAAATGTGGTCTACGAAATACCGAAAACAAAGAAAACATTGAAGCGGTTCTCTTTTTACTTTCACAAGTTATGTTGTTTTTCTGCGAATCTTTCCTCGTTAATGTTGTAACAAACCACTTTTGTCAGAACTGGTCAAAAATAATCTAGTTATTTAAAAAAAAAAAAAAAAAAGTGACTTAGCCCTTTAAGCGATTCAGAACCAACTTCAGCTTGATGACGCAGCTCTGCTGTTACCAAAGTATAGGGTCTTTTTAAACCAATTAACGTTCAATATTCCTTTAAAATATTTAGTCATTTTCAGTACTTCGTTACATAATAATATTTTTTAAAAATAACGCGTTTTTTTAAATCAAGAAATATTTTTTATTTATTTGCAGTTTCTTTATGAAAACAACATCAAAATCAAACTGTTTAACGCGTTCACTATATTTATGTCATTTATAACTACCATAGTCTAATTACGAATGCGATTTTTCCTTCAAAGTAAATATGCGGAACAAACTGTTTGTTTGCGGCTGACGGCGCTGGGACCCTGCGGAATCAAACTGACACGACTGACGACAACGTGCTAACAAGTTAGCCGGGACTGGAGGAGGATTGTATATGGTGTAGGCTTATAATTCCGAGCGTTTTTCTATTTTTATTTTACTTTAGCCACAACGTTTATTTAATTATGCCCAGCAAAAAGAAGAAATACAACGCCAGATTCCCCCCGGTGAGTTGAAAGCTTTATTTCTACAGGCGTCAGCACTAGCTAACTTTAGCTAACAGTGAAAATGAGAAGCTATTTGTTGTAGCTACACTTGAGGGGCTTCGAGTTTATTGCCCAGAAAGTCCCAAAAACAACCTAACGGGAAGTATTTGCTAAAGTAGTCAAACTTTTTTTTACGAATAATTCGTAGGTTTCTCCGAATTAGCTAACTAACTTATGTTTCGTGTTTTTTTATCCCAAGTTAGCTTCCAGGAGTCGTTGTTTTTAGCATGTACAGCTAACCCAAGCTGAATTTCTAGAGATGTTATTTGTACGTCTTCTGTGAGTGCATGGGATGTCATGGTACATCCTGCACATTCTGCTGAAACTCCGTAGTAAATTATGCCGTCCGAAGTGTTCGCATAGAAATAACGTCAGATCTGTCCTTCCAGGCAAGGATTAAGAAGATCATGCAGACCGATGAAGAAATAGGCAAAGTGGCTGCAGCAGTTCCCGTTATTATCTGTATCCTTCTGGCTTAAGGTGTTTGCATGCGAGACATTTGACTGTATGCCTCCAAACGTTGAAGTCTACTTTAAGGAACGCTAATTGGCAGCAAACAACTTCCTCACCCCGTTTTTTTGCTCATGTTATGTGTTGTTGAGTGATGTAGCTGTCAAAAGAATTAAATTATTTTAGCTAAAGCACATACACCTCAGCTTGTGTATCATTCATTCTTTCTATGAGATCTTTATTTATTTCGAACAAGTAAAATGTCATAAAAAAATAAGAAGAAAACCAAACAACATAATTAAGCATAAGAAAAAGGACAGCATGTCTATATATTCTATTCACACAACTGTATATATTGCCCACATTACACATATTTGCGCATGGGAGTGTGGTTTGTTTACTCATGTTACAATTTCTACTTTTTCCAAATTATATGTATGCACAACATTTATTATTATTGACTCTGAATGATTTTTACTGTCTTCATCCTCCTGCATGATAATCCATATGTTCAGCTACATTCATATTTAGCAAAACAATCAAAAGCAAAACATTTTCCTTTTCTCTGTTTTTCAATTTACACTCAAGAAATAAAAAAGTCACCCTTTTTTCTTTGTGTTGCTTTTTGAATTGGATATAAAAAAACAGCATATTATTCCATTTCAGTCCCGGTTTAAAAATTGAAAAAAAAAAGTTTTTTTATGAATATTTTTCACCTCATTTGTTCGAGGTTATGGATTCAGAACGCATTCGGCTTTTAAAATATTTTTTCGAACGACATGATGGGTTACTTTGTTGGGGTTTTTTGTTGTTGTTTTTCTTTTTATTTAGCTCAAATATAAAATAGTGGAAACATTATGTGCTTTAATGTGATCAGATCAAACGCTGATGAATGATTTCTGGCTCATGTAAAACTCGAGCAGTGAAATATTAATCCCAAATTTTGACTTAAATCAAAAATATGAATAAAAAAGTTTTTAATAAATCAATTAAAAAACCAATGACAAAGATCATGGATTGGGATCTGCAGCGGTTTATTTTCCTGAGGCAAAGCTTCAGCGAGAGCTCTGGAGCTTTTCCTGGAGTCGCTGCTGACGAAGGCCTGCCAGGTCACCCAGTCGAGGAACGCCAAAACCATGACGACGTCGCACCTGTGAGTTACTGCGTTTGGAACGGGTTTGCCGTAGGTTTTCAAAGGCTGGTACTTTGTCTCTTTGAAAGCCTGTTGCGTCTTCTTTTGGCAGGAAGCAGTGTATCGAGCTGGAGCAGCAGTTTGACTTTCTCAAAGACCTGGTGGCGACGGTGCCGGACATGCAGGGCGAAGGGGAGGAGAACCACACCGAGGCCGGAGGAGAAAAAGTCCCTCGCAGGTAGTTCAGGGAACCAACGCTCTATCGGGGTCAACAGAACAGACTACTCAGAGTTAGGGAAGTACAGTAGAGTCAAAAACCATTTATTCGTTAAAAATAAATAAATAAAAAGTTGCGCCCCCTCCTGGTGTGAGCATGTTATCTGTTACTTTAATTCTGATTTCTTCTTTTTGTCTGTCATTTTTTTGGTTAAGGACAGTTGTTATAATGTGTAACTGTAGCAACAAGTT